GAACTCATGAAGTCTGGGAACCAGCGAATGCAGCTCCTCGGAGCAATTGCCATGAAAGAATGTTTCCTACTTTTATTTTTAAAAATGGTTTTAAACACAACAATATTATTCTAATTCAGTTTTAGGATAATTCGAAAGTATTGTTAGGATTGTATTTGGGGTCGCAATCACCGAATTTTAGTGTCAAATTTTCCAATGTTTCCGGTGAGTAGTCATTTCGCAACTGAAATCGACCTATGAAACGACAATTTTTTAAAGATTTTTTGTAGCTGTGCATAATACGCACCCCTAATTTTGCCTATTATTTTTTTTTAGAAAAAAAAATGCGTATTATCATGGGGGATTACGGTATATGCCTGATTAAATAAAGTACAAGCATTATATCTGCTTACTTTTAGAATAATCATTGTAATTGTTATACACGGGAAAATATTACAATCACGGCGATTTTCTCTCTTTCTTTAATAATGACACCAAAAATCTTGTCCTAGATTATGATGTTACAGTTTTTGTGTATATATGCATGTAACTAGTGAGTTAGTCAAAATGACTTAATTCCCTTTATAGTCTACCAATAGAAGGTTGACCAATCAGAAGCCGCAGAACACTGTATCCGTCGTGTATAAAGGCGGCCATCCTTGTTTTCCCTACCGGAATGACCAGAGCCAACTTGTCAGGCGAACATGCCAGAGGGAAGAACTACGCTCTGCTACGATATCCACTGCGAACCTGAACTACACTTTCCTACTGTCTCCGAAATATTCACTGCTAACCTCTGGATTCTATACTCGAAGACGACCGTCATGACTTTGTAACATATGAAAGGACCCAATTGAAAATAAGTAAATAAACCTTTCTAAATTATTCAATGGATCATGTCTCCATATATATATATATATATATATATATATATATATATATATATCTATAAAATAATTTTTGCGATAGAAATCAGGAGAAAATCGTTACTAAGTCTTAAACTGATTTTCAACTCATGAGTAACCCGTATCATCTGGTTTGTTTTAAAAACTAAACCCAAAAGTTACAAAATACAAAATTTAGTCATTCATTGTTTTAATCCAGCTCGGGAAATATTTTTAGGAAAAAATGTGTTTTACATGTGACCCAATATGGCAGTAACTGAGTTGTTTGAATAACACGGCGCTAGTACTTTGGGCAAATCCAATTAACTGAAGCAAAATTGTGAACTTTTGTCTTGGAAGAAATTAATTAATTTAATGATTGAAAATAAAAATAAAATAAAATAAAAAAAATAAGACATACAAAAAGTCCACATACACATCAAATTAATCTGCTATCGAAAAGAATTGCCGGACGAATGAACTATTACATTGACACTTCCGGATGAAAACTCTTTTGCGCATGACGACCGGAAGTCGTGTATTGTCAAACTATGATAATAGGAAGATAGCTGTTAGAAGACAATGAAGTCAACTGCTTGCTGTCATCACAACAGACGCTTTTTTTTTTATAGCATTTGTTTTCTTTCTAAATTTTTTTTAACTATTTTCAAATTGACTCTTTGTTAAATTCTTTCTTTATTAATTAGTTTATTTAAACTGATTTGTTGACTCCTTACAGTGGGGAAGTGGTTAATAAATTGCAGTGAAGTAAATTGTCTTGGACATATATTGATGAAAGAGGGTTTAGAGAATTCGACACTCTCATGACGCATCGAAGGCGAAAGAGACAGGGTTAGATAGCGGGAAACCTTCCTGACGGGAGCGCGTGAATGGTTGGTAGAATGGCTCTGCAATGGCAAAAACAGAAATGTTACTCAGAGCCACAACAGATAGGAAGTTATCTGACTATATTTCTGAGATGAGGTATTATGTACACTATTTACATTATTCGGAATATTGTCCTCATCTTTGTCGCCATATTTATTGAAACGTTTCGACCGTTGTACGCTCTGGTCTTCTTCAGGACACATGGCACAATGGATAAAAGCATTGGTTAGATCCAGTAACAGGACATAAAGAGTGTGAGTTCAATACCCGGTTAAGGCAGTGGAGAACTTGGAAAGGGGAAGTAACAAGAGATAACTGATAACTGACATCCATTAAACATGGCACGTGGAACTAGAACAGTCTACCCCAGAGAGCGAAATAAAGGGTTCAGTTCGACATTATTACCACCTGAAGGCGGCTGGAGCGTACAACGGCCGAAACGTTGTAATAAATATGGCAACACAGATGAGGACAATAGTCCGAATAATGTAAATAGTGTAGATAGGAAAGTATATCTGAGCAGTACGAAAATAAAGACTAGATGTGATATCCCTAGACACGGACAATGGCAAGTGAACAGTCTGCCCTGTAAATTAATGAAAGTATTCAGTGAACCTTGTAGGTTACCCGGGTCGATATACACATGATGACTGGCAGACGACATGACAGCCGAAATGTTGTAATAACAACACAACAGATAATGACAGTAGTCCCACATAAATTTCTTTGGTAACAGACAGGAGGATTTATTTGGTAACAGACAGGAAGATTTCTTTGGTAACAAAGAAAAGAATACTGAGCTGTTAACGTGACATCTGTTCTCCTTTACGGCAGCGAATGTCGGACGATTTCCTCAAAGATGAAGAAGAGACCCGAGGCGACGGAGATGTGGTTCTACAGAAGGATGCTAAGGATACCATGGACTGAGCATTTGAACAACGATGAGGTCTTAGAGAGGTTACAAACAAGAAGGAGGCTTATACTTAACATCAGAAAGAGGCAACTGAAGTTTCTGGGACACATAAAGAGGAAGAAGGGCCTGGAGAATCTGATACTCACGGGTCGAATAGAAAGAAAGAGAGACAAGGAAAAGTAGCGCGTGACATTCCTGACGAACTTGAGCAAGTGGATGATAGAACGTGGTCAAACGGGAGGAAGCAGACGGAAGGCACTTGCTGTGAGCTGCAAGGGATAGAGAAAGGTGGAGAGCCATGACCGCCTACGTCCTGAAAGGATATGGCACATAGAAATAAAAGAAATACTGATAACTCCTCATCCCAGAAATTTAGACAGGCGTTTTAGGTCAAGAACTGGCATCTTTATTTCAGTCACATTTCCTACTGATTCCCTGTATTCGACCCGTGAGTATCAGATTCTCCGGGCCTTCTTTCCTCGTTATGTGTCCCAGAAACTTCAGCTGCCTCTTTCTGATGTTAATTATAAGCATCCTCCTTGTCTGCAGCTTCTGTTAAACCTCATCATTGCTCTCACGCTCGGTCCATGATATCCTTAGCATCCTTCTGCAGAACCACATCCCCGTCGCCTCGATTCTCTTCTTCATCCTTGAGGAAATCGTCCAACATTCGCTAGTGAACTTTTCTTTTTATATGCCATGTCCTTTCAGGGCGTAGACGATCAGGGTTCTCTACCTTTCTCTATCCCTTGCAGATCTCAACAAGTTCCTTTCCTTCTGCCTCCTCTCCCAGACCACGTTCTGCCATCCACTTTCTTAAGTCCGCCACATGTGTCACGCGTTGTTTTCCCTTGTCTCTCTTCCCCCCTATTCAACCTGTGAGTATCAGATTCTCCAGGCCCTCCTTCCTCCTTATGTGTCTCAGAAACCTCAGCTGCCTCTTTCTGATGTTAAGTATAAGCCTCCTCCTTGTTTGTAACCTCTCTAAGACCTCATCGTTACTCGCACTCTCGGTCCATGATATCCTTAGCATCCTTCTGTAGAACCACATCTCCGTCGCCTCGAGTCTCTTCTTCATCTTTGACGAAATCGTTCAACGTTCGCTGCCGTAAACAAGGACAGATGTCACGTAAGAGATCAGTATTCTTTTCTTTGTTAACAAAGAAATCTTCCTGTCTGTTACTAAAGAAATTTACGCTATTTAAATTCGGACGACTGTCTTGATCTCTTTTGTTGTTATCACAACATTTCGGCCGTCATGTCGTCCGCCAGCGATCATGTGTATATAGACCCGGGTAACCTACAGTGTTAACTGAATACTTTCATTAATTTACGGGGCAGACTGTTCTCGGGCCACTGCCCATGTCTAGGGATATCGCATTTAGGCCTTATTTTCGTACTGTTCGTATATACCTTCCAATCTGTTGTCACTCTGATTTTACATTTTCTCGAAACACTTTCAAGGTTATTGTTCTGATGAGCTTTACCTCGACTTCATGAATTTAATCGCAGTACTAGATTGGCGGCTCGGTCTCACCATTTCAAGTAGTTGTCTCTTTTACAGTAGTGGAACTCTCAGCCGATTTCATGCTTTCTTCCAGAATTTATAATTAGTATCAATTGTATTATATCTTATCAAAATCACATTCTTTCATTGTCCTCCCAATTTTTTTCCGAGTCAGTAACGGCTTGCATTATACTGCTATTTTCTGTCTTGCTTAGAGCGAAATACCTTCTCTGGCTAGACGGATAACGATTGAATAGTGATTTCAACCTACAATGGTTACTCCACACTTTCGTCTTTGTGCCACATCTAAGCTTAGCTTAGTAAATCACCAGTTATGACTGAATAGGGATTTTAATCCACAGAGGATCGCTTCAGAGTTTTTGGTCTGTTGCCGCGGTGGAGTAATGGATAGCGGCTCGGATTGAGCAATCGGAGAGCCGAGTTCGAATTTCGATAATTAATGCAAATTTAAAACATTTTATCTTATAATATGGGTAAATAGCAGGACAGACCGGGTTCTATAGCCTTGGATGGCACCTGGTCAACCGCAGTAAGAAATGGCCACCTACTGCGGAAAAAAATCTGCATCGTCAGTCATGTATCGAAAGATAAATGATCGCCTAAGCGTATATCACGCATGGCGCATAACTGACTGACACTTACGTGCTAATACTCTTGGGAAAGGTATGAATCCTCTTCCTCTCCCCTCTCCCAGCAAATGATATCAAAAGAAGCGTCGGTTTTGATGACAGCAATCAGTTGACTTCATTTTCACTTAACAGCTATCTTTCTATCATCGTGGTTTGACACTACACGACTTCCGGTCGTCATGCGCAAAAGAGTTTTCATCCGGAAGTGTCAATGTAATAGTTCATTGGTCCGGTAATTCTTTTCGATAGCGGATGAATTTGATGTGTATGTGGACTTTTTGTATGCCTTTCTTTTTATTTTATTTTTTTTTAAATTTTATTTTCAATCATTAAATTAAATAGCAAGACAGACCGGGTTCTATTGTTTTGGATTACAACTGGTCTACCGCAGAAAGTAATGGCAACCCACTGCAGAAAAAAATCGAAAGATACATGATCACCTAAGCGTGTATCACGCATGGCACATAACTGACTGACCTTTACGTGCTAATACAATTGGGAAAGGTATGAATCATCTCCCCCCCCACCGAGCTATAGGTAAATAGCAGGACAAACCGTGTTCTATAGGCTTGGATGGCAACTGGTCTATCATGGATGGCACTGACTGTCACATCGAAGTTACGCTTAAAAATCGTTTTGGGGACTGAGACGTGATGTAATGGCTATCAATGATTTAGTTTATTTTCTTGTAAATAGATTAATTCATATTGTATATACTCATTGGGGATCCTTTTAATTTGTTGTTTTATTCCCCACTCCCACATACGACGATTTGTACATATGGGGAGTATTTAGGATTTTCATTGAGATAATGAGGTATTATGGTGGATGTAGTAAGAAAGGCTAGTAAGAATGTGTTGTTTTGGTGTTAGGAAAATTGTTTGTATGTTTGGGTCAGTGTTTGTGGCTAGCTAAGTTTAAAATTAAGACAGATAAAGACCGTCCTCTTCCCCATCGCCTTTTTTAGGCCTTGTGCCACATTTTCTGTAATTTTACAGAAATAAATATTGTAATAGCTATCAAGCTTGTTGCGCTTGATCAATTGCAATAGAATAGTGAATTCGATCGGCGTTCGGTCCCCCATACTTTCGGCCATTTGCCACATATAAACGGCATTTAGAAAAAAAGCACCCTATCGTTATTTGCTTTCGTTTCTTTGATTTTCGTTGGTTTGTGAGCTCTTTGTACATTCATCCAATCCTTTATTTCTTTTTAAAAACTTCTGTCAGAATTCTTATATCATTATTTCTTTGGTTCATTCTTTCTGTTGTTCTGCTTTTCTCTTTTTCTGTGAGAATTCTTCATATTTCTTGTCCGAGATTTTCTTGAAGTCATTTTTTTATTTTATTTTCAATTTTTGAGTCTTGCACATTATTATATTTTATCGTCCTCCTCTTCTCATTTCTTCAATTCTTTCTTTTATCAGTTTTCTCGCTTGCTCACCTATCATCACCTGCTTTCTTTCTTTCTTTCTTTCTTTCTTTCTTTCTTTCTTTCTTTCTTTCTTTCTTTCTTTTTCCCGCTTGGAGGGAAGCAGAAGAAACCAAAAGAGAAAAAATTACGATCGTTTCTTTCTTGTTTCTTTGTTTCTTTTTTCTTTCTGTCGTTCTTTCTTTCTTTCTTTCTTTCGCTTGAAGTTAAGCAGGAGAAAGCAAAAGAGAAAAGGTACAAAAGTTTCTTTCTTGTTTGTTTGTTTGTTTGTTTCTTTTTCCCGCCTTTTCACCAATCATAATAGTCTTTCTTTCTTTCTTTCTTTCTTTCTTTCTTTCTTTCTTTCCTTCTTTCTTTTCCGCCCTTTCACCTGTCGTAATTGGATTTCTTTCTTTTTGTCACCTTCTCACCTATCTTAATAGGCTTTCTTTCTTTCTTTCTTTCTTTCTTTCTTTGCTTTCCGCCCTTTCACCTATCGTAATTTTCTTTCTTTCTTTCTTTCTTTCTTTCTTTCTTTCTTTCTTTCTTTCTTTGCTTTCCGCCCTTTCACCTATCGTAATTTTCTTTCTTTCTTTCTTTCTTTCTTTCGCTTGAAGTTAAGCAGGAGAAAGCAAAAGAGAAAAGGTACAAAAGTTTCTTGTTTGTTTGTTTGTTTCTTACTTTTCCCCGCCTTTTCACCAATCATAATAGTCTTTCTTTCCTTCTTTCTTTCTTTCTTTTTCTTTCTTTCTTTCTTTCTTTGCTTTCCGCCCTTTCACCTATCGTAATTTTCTTTCTTTCTTTTCTTTCTTTCTTTCTTTTTTTCTTTCTTTCTTTTTTCTTTCCGCCCTTTCACCTATCGTAATTTTCTTTCGTTCTTTTTCTTTCTTTCTTTCTTTCTTTCTTTCTTTCTTTCTTTCTTTCTTTCCTTTCCACCTTTCACCTATCGTAATTTTCTTTCTTTCTTTCTTTCTTTCTTTCTTTCTTTCATTCTTTCTTTGCTTTCCGCCCTTTCACCTATCGTAATTGGCTTTCTTTCTTTCTTTCTTTCTTTCTTTCTTTCTTTCTTTCTTTCTTTCTTTCTTTCTTTCTTTCGCTTGAAGTTAAGCAGGAGAAAGCAAAAGAGAAAAGGTACAAAAGTTTCTTGTTTGTTTGTTTGTTTCTTACTTTTCCCCGCCTTTTCACCAATCATAATAGTCTTTCTTTCCTTCTTTCTTTCTTTCTTTCTTTCTTTCTTTCTTTCTTTCTTTCTTTCTTTTCCGCCCTTTCACCTATCGTAATCGGATTTCTTTCTTTCTTTCTTTCTTTCTTTTCCGCCCTTTCACCTATCATATTTGGGTTTCTTTCTTTCTTTCTTTCTTTCTTTCTTTCTTTCTTTCTTTCTTTCTTTCTTTTCCGCCCTTTCACCTATCGTAATCGGATTTCTTTCTTTTTGTCACATTCTCACCTATCTTAATAGGCTTTCTTTCTTTCTTTCTTTCTTTCTTTCTTTCTTTCTTTCTTTCTTTCTTTCTTCCGCTTGAAGGTAAGCAGGAGAAAGCAAAAGAGAAAAGGTATAAAAGTTTCTTGTTTGTTTGTTTCTTTCTTTCTTACTTTTCCCCGCCTTTTCACCAATCATAATAATCTTTCTTTCTTTCTTTCTTTCTTTCTTTCTTTCTTTCTTTCTTTCTTTCTTTCTTTCTTTTTTCCTTTCTTTCTTTCTTTCTTTCTTTTCCGCCCTTTCACCTATCGTAATTTTCTTTCTTTCTTTCTTTCTTTCTTTCTTTCTTTCTTTCTTTCTTTCTTTCTTTCTTTGCTTTCCGCCCTTTCACCTATCGTAATTGGCTTTCTTTCTTTCTTTCTTTTCCGCCCTTTCACCTATAGTAATTGGCTTTCTTTCTTTCTTTCTTTCTTTCTTTCTTTGCTTTCCGCCCTTTCACCTATCGTAATTGGCTTTCTTTCTTTCTTTCTTTCTTTCTTTCTTTCTTTCTCTCTTTCTTTCTTTCTTTCTTTCTTTTCCGCCCTTTCACCTATCGTAATCGGATTTCTTTCTTTTTGTCACCTTCTCACCTATCTTAATAGGCTTTCTTTCTTTCTTTCTTTCTTTCTTTCTTTCTTTCTTTCTTTCTTTCTTTGCTTTCCGCACTTTCACCTATCGTAATTGGCTTTCTTTCTTTCTTTCTTTCTTTCTTTCTTTCTTTCATTCTTTTTTTCTTTCATCGCTTTCCGCACTTTCACCTATCGTAATTGGCTTTCTTTCTTTCTTTCTTTCTTTCTTTTTCCGCCTTTTCACCCATCGTAATCGGCTTTTTATCCTTTCTTTCTAACGCTTTTTCACCTATTGTAATCCGTTTTCTGCATTTTCTCCATTTTCTTACCTAAAATCATATGCTTTACTTATTATTATTATTATTATTATTATTAATAATAATAATGATAATAATAAAAATATATAGCTTCTTTATATCTCTTGCTCTATTTTATCTTTCTTTTTAGACGAATATCTATAGATTTTTTTTGTGCACTGATCGATAAATTACCACAGGAAAAAATCTCTTTCGGAATCAGATGAAGTCTAAACTGAAAACTCTCCTCATTGTTCAAAATCAATAAACGTGTTTCAAGAAAGATTCTCTTCTTGATACGACGAACGTTAGTGTTGAACAAGAATGTCGCCATATTTACACGATGCCTGCCTTCACGTGATTTAAATCTCTCATCGCCGTTGCTGTGACAATTTGAAGTGGAAGATTTACAGTCCCCCCACCAAAAAAAAAAAAAAAAAAAGAAACACATTCTATAAACACCGACGTTGTAATCATTTCTTCTTACTTCGTATTTTACTGAAAATCTATGTCTCACTAACCAAGATCCTCTATTACTTAATATAATATTTAAAGGCGATCATGTATCTTTCGATACATGACTGACGAGGCAGAGTTTTTTCCCGCGGTAGCTTGTCATTCCTTTCTGCGGTACACCAGTTGCCATCCAAGGCTATAGAACCCGGTCTGTCCTGCTATTTACCCACAACTGGGTGGGGAGAGAAGAAGAGGATTGATACCTTTCCCAAGGGTATTAGCACGTCCGTCAGTAAGTCAGTTATGTGCCATGTGTGATAAACGCGTAGGCGATCATTTATCTTTCGATACATGACTGACGAGGCAGATTTTTTTCCCGCGGTAGGTTGTCATTTCTTTCTGCGGTAGATCAGTTGCCATCCAAGGCTATAGAACCCGGTCTGTCTTGCTATTTATCTATAGCTGGAAAAGGGGAAGAGAAAACTTCTACATTTAATAAATAGCAGGCTATGTAAAATGAAAAGAAAAAAAAAACAGAAAAAATGAACTTATCTACAGCAAATACGACATCAACAAACCTCGAGATTTTTAAAAAAAATTTTCTTCTATGTACCATGTCCTTTGAAGATATAGGTGATCATGGCTCGGGGCAATTTCCTCTTTCAATTTTATCTTTTTGTTACCTCTCTTAAACTCGGTCCCGTTATAAACCTCGTTAGATATGTTATGTGCTGTTATCCTCTGCCCCTCTTTTAATCGATCCAGTGAGTATCCTATTTTCCAGACCCTCTTTCCTCATTAAGTGCTCTAGAATTTCCAACTATCATTTTTTCTGATGTTAAGTATAAGTGCCCTTTTTGCTTCGTTTTTTTTTTTTTTTGTAAATCTTCGACGTTGCTCATATGTTGGGTCCACGGAATTCTCAACATCATCCTGCAGATCCAAATTTCTGTTCCCTCGGGTCTATTTTTCATTTGGGAAGCAATTTTATCAGCATTCACTGCCATATAAGAGGACTGATAATGCGTAAGTTAAGTAATATTAGATTCTTTAGCTTCAAGTCTCTTCTTCAGTTGTGAGGAGATTGTCCAACATTCATTGTTATATAGAGGATTGATATTGTGTAACAGTTCAGTACTCTTTCTTTGTTTCTCTTACTTTAAGTCTCTCCTTCATCTGAAAGGTGACTGCAGCATTAGAGTTCAGTACATTTTTCTTTGTTTCTCTTGCTTCAAGTCTCTTCATCTGCGTGGAGGATGTTCAGCGTTCACTGTCATAAAAGAAGACTCATATTAGGTAGCAGTTCAGTACACTTCTTTTTTGTTTCTCTTCAAGTCTCTTCTTCATCTATGAAGAAAATTGTCCAGCATTCACTGCCATATAGGAGGACTGATATTACATAACAGTCCAGTAATCTTTTCTTCGTTTCTCTTGCTTCAAGTCTCTTCTTCATCTGTGAGGAGATTGTCCAGCATTCACTGCCATATAGGCGAACTGATATTACTTAACTGTTCAGTACTCTTTTTCTTTGTTTCCCACGACATTTTCCTGTTTCTTAATAATTTTCTTGGCTATATATATATTCAGCTATCGTAGCAGATCCATACGAAATTAGGTCTGACATAATGAAGTTTACGATGCCATCGAGTTGGGCTTTGTTAGCTGATTTCGCTGACTATTATGGTAGAAAATAGTTCGATCCTCATTGGAGTCTAGCTGTATGGCTTTTTGATTCAATTCTTAACGAATATATCAGATTGCAACTTCTATTTTGTCGCGTAATCTTAGGAACATTTATTGTACAAAATTCACATTGGGTGCCTAATATTGTGGCGTGGTGACTTAACACTAAGAAAAGACCGTTGAAATTTCTAGGGCACATAATGTGGAAAGAGGGCTTAGAAAATTTGATACTCACAGCACTGTTTGAAGGCAAGAAGGAGAGGGGAAAATAATGCATAACCTATCTCGCAAGCTTGAATAAATAGCAAGTTTTAAGAGTCATAACAGAATAACTAAAAGTTACAAAGGACGGGAAATTGTGGAGAGCCATGATCGCCTAAGTCTTCAAAGGACGCAACACATAAAAGTAGTTAAAAAATAACTCGAGGCTTGTTGGTACTTCTATGTTGATCTCGTGTTTGTTGTAGGTGAATGTATTTCTTTTTTTTATGTTTCTTTTTTTACGTCCCCCTCCATTCATTAAGTGTAGAAATTGTCTCCCCTTTGACAGTGGATCTCGGTGAGCGAGACATACATTTGCGGCAAAGTACGTAATCTCGTTTCTATTCGTTTTCTCGTTCCTCTTCTCGTCCGTTCATTCTGTCCGCAATGGATGCCGTTCTAATTATCTTCGTGAGACCTGCGCTTAAATATAAAATAAAAACGAATATATATATATATATATATATATATATATATATATATATATATATATACAACAACAAAAAACAAAACCAAACTCATCTCGAATCTAGAGGTCTCCGATATAAGAACGTAAATACTTAAGCAAATATATTCCCAACTCTAAGTCTAATCAATTGATTAAATTTGCATCTTATTCTGGTAACCTATTTCCAAATTTACAAACCTGTTTTCTCACCGTACTCTTGGAAGTAAAAACTCAATTGTTAGAGCAAAGTACTGTGCATTTAGAGGTCTGTGTTCAGTAAGATATTTCAAACGACGTCCATAGCGTGTATTTCTCCCGCTTAGTTTGTTGCATGATTGCAAATGCATTGAATATCGATTCCAGAAACTAGATTTTACCGAGACCTCTACAGAATGAAAATGAGTTCAGCAGAAAACTAGAAAACAGTGTAAGACAAGGATGTGTCTTCTCGTCGGACTTATTCAACCTATACAGCGAGGCGACTCTGAGGATTAATTAATGGCGGCCACAACCTTAACAACGTAAGATATGCAGATGACACATTGCTGATAGCAGGCACGCAAAGGAAACTACAAAAACTCCTACAGAAGTTAGCGAAGGAAAGCGAGAAGAAAGGATTAAAATATAAACTGCAGGAAAACTGAATCCATGATTGTTAGCAAAAGGGTCATCCCGAAATGCAAATTACAAATCGGAGATACTAAGATTAAACAAATTGAAAAAATTAAATATTTAGGAAGTATTTTAATAAAGGACGAAAAATGAGAAACTGAAATTTCGAAGGATCATTGGGATAGAAAAAGATTCCTTCCAAAAGCTAAGCAGTGTACTAAGAAATAGAAAAAATTCGCTAGAAACAAGGAAAAGTGTACTTGTATCTGTCCTTCTGTTGTGGTAGGATCCACCTAATTTGCATAGTGGAGTACCGACCATATAAATATGGTTGGTACCGGGAAGAGAGGGAGGAATAAAGAGATTCAACCAGAGACTCTGCCCGACTGCAACTCAGTCAACACATTCTCCAGGAACGGTCTTACCAGGAATATACAAAAGACTATATGTAAATATTGTGTACACTTTCTTGTTTCAATATATTTTGTTCTAAGTACATTTTGTGTTGCATTATTATTCCATGCATTAGTCAAGTTTCAACACCTTCAATATGACAGCGAATGTTAGACAATCTTCTTAAAGAGACTTGAAGCAATAGGAATGTGTTTCTACAGAAGGATGCTGAAGATACCATTTATCGAACATATGAGCAACGACAAAGTTTTAGACAAAATGGAAACATAAAAAGATACTTATACCTAACATTAAGAAGAGACAATTAAAATTTCTAGAGCACATAGTGAAGAAAGAGGGCTTGGAAAATCTGATACTCATAGGACATATTGAAGTCAGGAAAAATAGAGGGAAAATACGCATAACATGCTTAATAAGTGTTGTAGTATAACTACGGACGATAATGGATATGCCCTCATTCTCATAAATACAGTAGTGAATACTGTATGTCTCGGAAAACAGCTACCCGACCCCGTTTTATATGGGGTCTACGGGAAATTTTTTGCCTAAGCCTACGGGTTCGGATACCCCACATTAAATTCGGCATTGTGCCACATTTGGCCGCGTGGGGCGGTTGGTAGATATTCTGCAGTTGGAGATTCGTCTTCAACTGGGCTGGTTAAACTCTCTGTCTCCGGGCAGAGAGCATCCTAGGACGGGGCTAGGTCGAAGGGTAGAGTCTCGTCGGGTGAGAACCAAAATGCTTATGAATGATTCTGTTTGTAAGCTGGCCGCACGTTGAACCTCATTACCTTTTGTCTATTTTAAGAAGGGTGTGTATAAGGAGAAAGAAAAGATAGGAGAGGGAAAAGAGTGACATAGAGAGACAATAGTGCTTGTTGATAGTAATTCCGTGAAGGATTCTTGAGGTGTTAAAGTTATGGATCGACTATTATTGCTCTACTCTTGGTATTGAGCCCTCTTGAATTAATGCTGTGAACGTTAGAATTTATATATTATTTTCGTCCTCATGACATTCGTATATATATATATATATATATATATATATATATATATATATATATATATCGAGACTTTATCATATAGTCTCAGTTACGGTGGACTGGTCATGTCTT